GTTTTACTCCTCTAGTATAGAACTAAGTTTCTGGAGCTGAGCATGGTGTCGAAGACCTGTAATCCCAGCACTTGGCAGGCTGAGGCAGGAGGATCACTACAAGTTTGAGGGCAGCCTGGGCTACATAGTGATTTCAAGACCGGCCTTAACTATATAGTGAGACCCTGTCTCAAACAAACAAACCCTAAGTTTCTGTTGTTGACAGCCAGGAGTAATATAATAACTGAAGTTAGTGGATCTGTAAGAGTATTATTAATAGCACTTTTCTTTGTCCATACTTTCAAAATTGACAGTGAAATTTTTAGTTGAGTGTTCCCTGTATATTCATCAAAGTCTTATAATGGATAACAAATGAATTAGTGAAATTGAAAATCCAAACATCTTTTGTGTGTGTAGTTCTGGGATTGAACCCAGGACCTTTGCACATGCTATGCAAGTGCTCTACCACTGAGCGAAATCACTACCTCTAACACTGCAAATATACTAAAAAGCATTGAATTATATATTTTAAATGAGTGAATTGTATAATATATGAATTATATATTAATAAAGCTGTTTTTATAAAAACTAATTGCCACCATGATATTTTATTGTGATCTGTAGTCTCTTTCTTGAGAAAATTAAAGGAATTTGACAGTCTCCAAGGCTCTCAGGTGATCTTTTCTTTTAATTACTTGCCATGTGTGCATAAATTAGCTTTTGCCTAACATACTCTTGAGATATTCACCCATTACTAAAGAAATATAAGAACTTAATTATGTTAGAAGTTATTAATATTTAGAATTTATAAAATATATTTATATCTATTGAGTATTCCTTTTCCAACTATTCTGTAAAATTAATATCTTTTACTTCTACAGATGATGAAACTGAAGTTTTTAAGATTAAGCTCCTTGCCATAGGTCACACTACTATGTGTGACTGAAGTGAGCTTATGCTTAAGACTCAGACTTGATTTCTTTTTTTTTTCTGGTACTGGGGCTCAAACTTGGGACCTTGCGCTTGCAAGGCAGGTGGCGGAACCACTGAGCTAAATCCCCGGCCCCAGACTTGATTTTTGCCTTTCCATGAAGACTTTTCATTGTCAAGGCTGTTTATAGTAATGCTATTATTTTTCCGATCTCTGAACTGTTTCTGCCTCTGTCACTTTTTACATCTATTCCTATTTTTCCGTATACAGTTGAGATTGCCAAGCTCAGACTGCTGAAGACATAAATCATTTGGCTCTGCAATATTAGTATTGGATTAAAACCAGATTCAAGTGGCAAAATAACACATGGTGAAAGCATGGGCTATGTTTCTATGATGCCAGGCAGTTGAATTAATTCTTTGAGAGGAGGTGTGAATACACATGTATAATGATACTTTAACACAACTGTGAGCAAAATATTTTGTCACATTACTCTGTTTTGTTAAGTTTGGTCTACCATCTGCCATTCTTGCATTGACTGGAATGGAGCACCCATTAATAGCAGGGACTTGCAAGTGGCCACAGTTTTTTGTGCATTGAAAGATACTTTGATAGTTCTTATGTTTCTGCTATTTTTCTATGCATCATCTGAGAAACTTTCTTTCACTGGAGATAATCACAGGGTAATAAGCCTTTCTTCCTTGGTGTTATATGTGTGAAGTAGTTATGAATTTCAGTTTTTAAATCTCCCAGTTTAAGGAGTATTTTTTTACTTAATTTTTTTTTT